TTCAATATTATATATTTCTCTTTTTTGTTCGCAATAAAATCGATTGTTTTATTTGAATCCATTTATTAAAATACGCCACGACGCGCGCGCGCGTGGCATGCCAGCGTCCACGTCGGCTCCTACCACTCTTCTCTAACTATTTTCTAAAGTGAAAACGACGGTCTCACGTGGATCCGCGTGATCGTGCGATATCGCTTTACAGCCGCTCGAGCAAGTACTCACCGCCTTCAGTCGCCACAGCCGTCGCAGCATGATGATGCAGAGGGGAAACGGGAACGAACAGTGGGACACGAGCAACGAGAACCGGAGATCTCGAGGTAGAATCGCGAGGAATACGCGGCTGCCTTCTTTCGATAGGTAGACGCGTCTAGAGTGTGTACTCCATTTTTATCACCGCCGTGCGTCCGCGAGGTTTTATCGTAATGACGACAATAATAGGTACATATACAACATGCTCTCTTACAGGCCGAGGAGGAAAGAGATCGCTCTTGCCTCTGTGTTATCGCTAGTCGCCGGGGACCATTTTTTCTCTTGCGTTTCGCAATCCGCCATAGGAACGCGGTTCGAATAGCGATTCAAAATAAAATACACGTTATGCTACGCACCTGTGACTCGATCCTCGCTTGTCCGGAAATACGGATTCACTGAGAAATTCGACCAAGAAACTCTTCGAGAATTCTCCTAATCCCAGATTGTTCGTTCAACGATCATCTCTAGGATAGGGCAGCTATGCACTCGAGTTATTTACTCGAAAATAATAGGAAACTTCGTTAATCGCGCGCCTTGGGCAGTTACCGAATAACGAGATCGCGTTTTAACACGTTAAGCGCCACGAAAATTTTGACCATTTTTCGGTGGAGGTATTCTTTTGTAGCAAAGAAAAGCAAGAACAATTATTCATTATTTGGCGTTAGAATTTTTGCATTACACTATTATCAACTTAGTTACGTTATTAAACATTTTCATTCCACATCAGTTACCTCGCATGTTACGATTGTTTTCATGTAATTCAGAAGAGTCGATCACCAGTGACTGACATGGCGCTTAATGTGTTAATTTACGTTTACAATCAAGGTTTAAACCGATTCCATTCCTCTCTGTCAATCGTTCGGTCGACCGGACCATGCGACTCCTCGGCGTAAGAGAGCAAACGAGAATAGCATCGAGAGCCGCGATACTAAAAATTGTGCTAAACGTATATTAGTCACTCATCTTGTGTGTTTCCGTTTCGTTCGACTGGTGCGCTTTTGGCTTTTAAGTCTCGGGCCGCGAAGTCGACGCGTCGAGAGATCGTTCTCGAGACAATTTAGCTACGGCTAAGAAAAGGAGTCACGGATCGCCTTCGTTGACGAGAACAGAAGGGGCGACCGTGGCCTATAAATCTACAAAGAAAGAGTCACCGCTTCGAATGTGCTTCCGTTGACCGTCTCGATGTCGAACGTCCTCTTCTGCGATTTCAGGGATCATTGCGCAGATCGTCTGGTTTCGTTCGTTAAGTACCTTCGCGCTGAGTAAGCGGCGTTCCATCGGAGAGCAAGATCGAAAGGGTTGAACGATTGACTTCGTACAGCACCATCGGGCACATTCGTAAATCCATTCGCTGCCGTCGACGTTCGGACACACCTATGAAACCTGGCAGTAGCGTGTATACTTTCGGACCGATTGATTTCGTTTCGGTTACGTGCGACCACGTGACATATCCTGAGAAGGCTGATTTCGGAATATCAAAAAACGCGTACGAAGTGGGCGTTCAGCGATGCTGAACGATGTTCCTTGAAAATGAATTTTTCTTTGAATTTGTTGTTCGATGTGCTGTCTGGGGAAATGAAGAATATGGTCGACAGGTGTTGACGATCGAGAAGTTAACTGATGAACGTCTTCGTGCTGATCTTCGATTTAGGACTACGTTCCTCCTCGTGCTATGTACAGTTGAGTACACGCTCTGCTCCCTTTCCTTTCTGTTTCCTTTCTTCCGCTTCGTTTCTTCTGTACAAGTTCTCATCTGCCATTCCCCCATGCACTCTGTCTCTCGATCATCTCGCACACAGTTTCGCTCTGTCACATATATTATTAACAAATTTCCTCGCTAGCTCGCTTTACCGCGATTTTTCATCCTCGGCACGTACGCGTGACTTTTTTCTCTTACGGTTTTTTGTACGTGTATGTTTACGTGTGTCGGAGTGTGTGTGTGTTGATAGTATGTTTGTTTATGTGTTTGTGCGGGTATGTATGCATGTGTATGTTTGAGCGGGCGTGTATGCATGTTTGTGTATGTATGTATATATGTATGTGGGTGTGTCGTCACTGTGTGTAACTTAATTAAGTTAGAGGTTTGAGTAGACTCGGGACAGCCGTTATCTTCACCGTTTACTCGCAGCTACCGCGGCGACCAGCGCCGCGCCGCGACCACTACCGTCTTCTGACAGCATCAAGCCAAACTGCGAACAAAAATTAATATTGAATACTTATCTCGTTTCTCAATTATATCAATTATATCAATACTTTACTTAAGTTTATTTGAAAACAATTATATTAATACCTTACAAAATATGATACGCGATTAAATTCTTTTCAAATTTTGATTATAAAGAATACAGAGAGATACTAATTTAATTTTATATGAACACTAATCGTGTATTTGTAAATGCTAAAAATTATTTCTGTATTCTTCTCTATTGTGTTTTACAAATAAAATAATATTATATACTATATTGTATTTACTTTTAAACAAATTTAACTGATTCTGAAACATTAGAAACCATAATACTTGTAGAAAAACGAAATGTAAAAATACGAAACAGTTATTTGCATTAATGCGTGAGTATAGGTCACCTTGTACATCTCTTCGAGAAACTATATCGAAAATTTAAAACGAAGAAGAAACATAATATTTTCATCAGTCTTACCGTGTGACTCTGTAATTGGCTGATTTTTTCGGTCATCAGATCGTGAAAGTGTGGATGAAATCTGTAGACCGAGCCGTCAATGCCGACCGTGACATTGTTCTCCCCCATCCTGTTGAGGAGCGTGGCAATGCCAGCGCTGGCAAGATGAGCCGCCCTCCTCGATACCACAGAGCAAACGTACCTAACGTTCTCGCAATCTTGGTCGCTCACATTTCGTATACCTAATTCCGCTAAAATTTCACGGCAGTTCGAGTATTTACCTTTGGGATCGCTAAAAGAGTAAACAAAGTTTTAATAGAAATCCAAGTTCTACAAAAATCACTGTTTTTCTCATTAATATACGATAAGTCCGGGATAATTCGAATACATTACGATTTTGCACCAATTTTCGATTCGAAACCTATGATATCTGGACTAAAAACTTTTATGCACTTACAAGAAACTTAAAAGTGCGCCATACATTGCACGTAATACCAAAAAATATATAAAATATCCAAAGTGTAATGCATTTTATAGTATTCGCTGTTACAAAACTGTTCTCCGGTATAATTTTATTTTTCTAATTCTGTTCTAAAAAATCTAAATTTCCATGAAGAACCGCAAATCAATAGTAATCTTTTCTTTAAATGACATAAGGAATTCTGTGACGCTTCGATTAAATAAAATATTCGAACTGTTCTGGACTTATTATAATTGTTTTTCGTGATACTAACTTTTCAATTTCGGAAACGTATTTCGTGAAGAACTTGCCGCGTTTCTTAAGATCGGTGGGACACTTGCCGCCGAACAACAAGCCAGAGTCGACGACTTTTTCGAGGACCAACCTCGTCAGTTCACCCATGTACATTCCGGAGATCGTTTTCTCGAACAGCTGTTTGCCCGGGTTGATCGAGTTTCTGTCGATCGAGTGATCGAACTCCGTTAAAATGTAATCGAGGGTGCCCCTTTCGCCGAAAGCACCCCACTCCGTGTTGATCAGCATGTACGGTTTCTCGGCCGCGTAGTTTCCGGTCACCGCGCACTGCGCGTTCTTCGTTCTTTCCACGTAACAAGCGTTAGTGCCCGTGCCTAAATACAATAAGAAAAGAATGAATTAGTATGACGTTCGCCTAAGAAACTTTTTCAAGTGCTTAATTACCTATGTAGTTTGTAAATCTGTTTAAGAAGCTAATGATTCTTAAAACTGAAATTGAATTCTTCAATTCTTCGCAAAAACGGATGGATTAGAACGTAAATTAATACTTTGCACTCCAGTGGCGACTCTCAATCACCAATTAATTTGATACAGCAACATTGTAAAGTATGACATTTAGTATTAAACTTTGTACAATGCATCAATATGTGAAATATTGAAATAAAACAGTTTTGTTCCTAGATTTATGTGCGATTTCTCGTCAAGTTAGTTTTAGAAAATATCGTCGGTATCTCATTAGAAAATGTTGAGTATTTCCAGTGAAATGCTCCTGGAGCGCAAAGATTTAACATATTCACGAGTAGTTCTGTATCAAAGAAAATTAAATTACTTTCACGTGTGTTCTTATCTAAAATTGTAATATGTAGTATGACCTGTAGGAAGCTGAGATTTTGTTCTTCAACTTTATTTTCATTTTATAAAGACGGTTTGTTGCATTTAACAAAATAATATTATTATTGCAAATAATAAAACACTGAAATAAACGCCAGTATTGAACGTGTCAAGTAAAGAAGGAAAGAGAGTAATTTGAACTTTGAAGATCATTCAACGCAAATGTGTGACTCGTGTAGTTGAACTAAGTTTTTGAGGTTTTATTTGAGATGATATTAAAAATTGATCAGATATTCGTTTTTAAGGTGATCATTATCCTTTCAATGCTGCTTTATGTAGGAGGAAAGAGAGTACATATTTATCTCGAGGAAGAAATATTGACTTTCACGTTTGAGTTTATGCGAGACTATTCTTTCACTTTCTTTTTTGTTATGTACCTACCAACAATCAATCCGATACGGCAATTCCTGTTTTTCCAAGCGCATGACATTAATGTGCCGGTGGTGTCATTCAAAATAGCGCACACATCGATTTTGACATCCTGTACAAGAAATCGGAATTACTATGAGCGTTCCGCAATTAGTCATAATTACCTGCGCACGCGAGCCACTTTGATTCATGTCACTGTTTCCGAGTTGTATTCTTTCGCAATCATTACAAAATAATGGAACGACTTAAGCAACACGTCACATACTATTAAATATAACAATTCGAGCATAACAATTAATAAATCACAATAATTATTCAAGACAAACAGATACATCGAAAATGTGAAGTAAAGTCTATTTATAATAGACTGTTTCCAAAGTATATTTCTTTAACAAAAAATAGGTATATACTATATTAAATCCTTACTAAAATTGTTACTCTTTTATACAACAAATGAAAAGTCTATCTAAATAACAAATATTATTTCCTACATAATCCTGTGGCGTTTACAACTGTGAAAATTGACTTTCTATTGTTTATTTCACTATTAAGAATAAATATATATGAATTTACTTTCATTTAAGAATACGGTAGAAAACATTATTGATAATTTTCTATAATATATTCAATTATATTATTCATAATTTACATTATATTTTGTCAAATTCATTTTAATCAAAATTCGCAAGTAGTTTTTGTTTTCATATTTGCATTGCGTCCCTATAGTTATCTGATTTAGTTTTAAATTTGTCTCCATATATTATGAAACAGCCTATAATGATGTTCCCTCGTGAGTAACAATTTTCTAGAGATCACTTACGTTTCTTCTCGCTATCGCCTCCTCAAGAAGCGCAACGACATCCTGGCCCACCACATCGCTGCAATTAAAGCCCTTCGTCCATCTAACGAGGTATCCCTTCGTCAATCCCTCCTGCGTCAACGGAAAGCTGAATGTAAATCCCAGAGGCAGAATCTGATCCTGCAGGTTCAGGTCTTTCACGAACAGAGCTAAACATTGGGCTATGTGATCGAAGAGTTGTTTGCCGGTGCCCAACATCAAACTCTGCGGTATCGCATAAATTTTGCTCTTCATGTCGAAGTTCATGCCTTCCAGGGTGATTAGAAGTACCCTGAAGTTTGTGCCGCCTAAATCCAACGCCAGGAAGTTACCCTTCTCTGCAAACGATATATAATTCAATTTTAAAGATTTCTCGTTTGTTTATTTTCTAGGTAGTGGCTAAATATTTTAAAATACTAGAGGAAAATTACTAAAATGCTATTAATGACAATAGTCATAATTACGATAAATTTAGTAATGCCTCTTTTCATAGCTACCATTTGTACATATTCCGTTTTCAAATGAGCAAATCATTAATTCTAGAGAAAAGTTACAGTCCGAATTCACCATTCAAAATTCTCGTTCAATAAACACCATCTCATCCATAAAAATAACGTTTAAATTATCGAAATGATTCTACAATAGACCGAACTGTTATCTTCACTCGCTCTTGTCCCTAACAGAATGAGTAATTAAAGTCAATATTAGTTTTCTACTTTACGTCATACTTGTATAGATTTATCATCATCACGAGGACTCCACAGAATAAAAATTGTATGTTCAACATTCGAGTAGCTTTATATATTTCTTAAATAACATCACGCGTCACAGTAAGGAGTTTCAAACGATGTATCACCACGAGAGCGACTGTTCCTCAACTGCTAAAGAAAAATTTAAATTCCCATACCGGTGCCATTGGGAAGGTCCTGCACATAAGTCGTAAAGCATTTCACAATGGCGTCCTTGTGCGTTTCCTTGGTGAGGCCTTTTTGTATCTCCTCGTCTAGCCTATCCATGAGCATGTGCAGCTGATCATCGGATAGGACTAGATCCTTGCAGATGTCCTTTATCTGCGAGCAAAACGAGCGAAAATCTTATTATCGATCGACGTCACGTAACAGCGTTATGAGAGGACCTTGAACAGTTCCCCAATGTACTATCTATATCGGTGTCGTCCGCGCAGCTGCATATGTTGCATAACTGCACTCAATACTTACGTAGACCATCAGAGAATGGCGGGAGGTGGACGGGCAAAGATATTAAAATTATTTTACGCATTTCTCGGTACGGGGACGTCGAAACGGATTGATAAACAATGCGACACGTCTCTGCGATTGATGTCATATTCCGCTACGGCTAATTGAATTTCTGCTCGTTCTCGTGACGCGCGAACATTTCATTTTCTTCTTTCCCCGGCTACGTTGCGAAAAACACCGGGGAATGAACGAGAGAGCGAATTATCGAGTTTTATTGCGCGGGAGAAGGATCGAGTAATTGCGGTTGATGTAAGGTCGCGAGGCTGTCAGTGAACTGACGTAAGAGCCTCGAGAGAAATAATTGTGCAAATGCTGGGTTGCGGTCAAGCACTCGGGATTATTCTTTCCGCGAAACTTTGTTCCCTTCGGGCGATGGGGAACTGATTAATTGGTCCGATGCGAAATCCTATTGTATCGGTTTCGGTAAACGTGTCGAATGGTTCTTGTGTGGTACGAGATTAATTAAATTGATCAGCTTGGGTAATCAATGAGAATACGCGACGTTTTCATTGTTCAGGTATTTTGCGGGAAAATGAGAACGAAGAACGAGGATATTGGATTTACGTTTATTATTTACATAATTTAGAAAGATTTTAGGATATCTTTTTTCTTCGGCAGAAAGAAGTTACTTGGAGTTTGACAATTTGCGAATATGGTAATTTTAGGTTGACCTTGAAACTGTTCATTGAACTTCATCCAAAGTACGAAGTACATTATCCGACAGTATATTGATTATTAAATATTTGTGTGTTATTATTGGTGCTAAGTGTATTGTATTGTTAGTAATGCTGATATACACAGCTAATATTATTAGAGTCAATTATAAGACTCTATTTTCACAAATATAATGTGTTCTTCAAAAATCATGAGTTGATTTGATATGATTCATACAGAAATGATCATGATTGATAGAGAAAAGAATGCACTGTTGTTTTTTAATTATTAGTTCATCTGTGCAAATAATATTGTAGTATCTAGAATATTTAGGGTAGATTAAAATATTGTAGGATGAATGGTTTGTTGTGCGTGCGTGAGGGCGACCAGGTCGTATTGCGACGGACCGGCGCCGGGATGTTTGGAAAATAATGTGACTGCGTTTAGACAATATCGAGTGGCTGAAAGAATGCGAGGAAGAGTATCTGGAACTGAGCGACTGAACCGTGAGAAAAGTGTGTACGTGACTGCGTGAATTTTGACTATGGACGAAAGATGCGAGTGGGAAGGGTGCAAGGGTGAGAAAGACAGAGCGAATGGGGGTGTGTGATAAAAGCGAGTGGAAATGCGTGCATGGGGACATTTTGGTGAGCGACAGCGGAGAAGAACATTTTTGGTGCGAGAGTCGTGTGTTGTATTTTTTACGTGTTGTCCGTATTGTTTTCCTTATCTTATTAAATATATATTGTTTTCCTAATTCTCTTTTTACTGAAGATCCACATTTTCAATATCATCTAATAGTAAACCACCACACTATAATATTTTACGATAAAATTTTAGTTTCCTTCTTAGTAGTGGTTGAAACCAATGATGTTTACAAAGTCACCACTACAGAGGAGAAACGATGAGATAGAACACCGATGAGGCGCGTGAGTAGAATGTTACTGTCTAGGTCAGCCGCACAGGATTATGTTTCAAAGCTTCATTAATCTAAGTTATCAGGTATGTCCTTTGGGAATTTGCATCGTAATTAACTGTTTCGATCCCCTATTTATAATCTTGATCGCCTTGACTATTGTTAAAAATTCAACAAATATGTAACGAACACTTCATTTATTTCATAAGAATATTAACGTAACTGAAACATCGTATCAAATAAACATTAAAGTGATACATGCTACTCGCGTTGAAAATTGCTACGCGGTCTCATAAATTAATATTCATGACGTAAATAAGGTCACACGTCATGAGTATGTTAAATAAATATGTAGAAGATGAATTATAATCTCCATTCGTTATTCAATTTTGTTTTTACGGAAAATCCAAGATACATTATGTCATCAAAGTGTACCGCTTATGAATAGGCAGCATTAAATTATTATTTTAGTTTATTCTAACTTATTATCAATTATAATTGAGAATGGAAACTGTGTTTAGATCCAGTATATTTACTAGCATTCCCATCTGTTTCATATTAACATCTTTTTTTATTTTAAATATTTCACGAATGACTTTGCGGTGTCATTGAATGATTAAAAAAACTATACTGGAACGCCTAGATTCTGTAAACGATGCGATTCCGAGAATGTATTCGAGTCTGACCGAGTTGAAAGAATGCAAGCGGGCCTTTGTGTGCAGCCGCGTGCGTTTGTGTGCGGGAACCAAGAGTCAGAGTCCGGAAGAATCGCGTGCAACCATACAGTCCGAGACAAAAAGACAATTCACTCATCATTTTTATCTATTTTTCAAGATATTCACAAGAAAATACATATTTTTAACCAATTTCCATAGGATTCTAAAGGTATATAAAACATAGTTTACAAGAAATGATAGTACACTATACAAAAAATATATCTGCAAAATGAACAATTAATTTAATAAAATTTCGTAATGCCTCTTTTCTTTTGTATAACTTCTTAATAAAGTAGAATTTAATAATGCTTATATATGCATTAAAAGAATTTGTTTATTTTCCTTTGAGTTACATTAATAATAAATATATCCCAACACTTTTGATTGGGTTTAAGTCGAGAGAACATGATTGCCAATCTAAAACTTTTGTATTCTTTAAATAAAATATTTTTGTACGGACTTAGCTGTTCGAGTGGGTTCGTGGTCTCTTGAAAAAATAATATTTTCTTCAATTTTAAAAATGAATGTACCTTCAATTATTCACACATTTCCTCCCTTCATTTGTCAACGATTGAGAACGATTTCTTCCTTTCATAAATCGTGAAAATAAAAATTCCATCCATCTGAACCATCTAAAGCAAGTTTTTTCTCATCATTAAATATAATTTGCCTTCGCTGCTTTTTCCAACGAGTATTCCTCTCCGCGAACTCTAAACATATTTTTCTGTGGTTGGATTGCAATTTTCTACATTTCAAGTGTTGAGATCGCGGTAAAACACGTGCCACTCTATTTATTTATTGCAACACAAGGCTAGTTGATTAATTTCTCTTGAATGCTTTCTTCGATTTCTCTTCCTGCGCTGTTCTTCCATTCAGAATTTGCTGGATTCTTTAACAAATTTTACACTCCTTTTTGACTTTTATACAACAGTGTTGTAAAATCTAAAATAGAATATTTCTCTATTCGTAATAATAGAATTTCATTTGTTTCACTTTTGTTTAAAGACTTTCTTCGACTCATTTTCATGATTCGATGCAAAATAGTACAGTACGATATAGAAACAGTACAAAAGAATTTTTGTGTTTCGCGGACACTGTAGTGGTAACTGATAATAGATAATAACTCAACTTTTTTACATATTTTTCTGTTTTCATTTATATACCTTCTTACATTTACGTATAATGGTGTGTGCTCCCTGTAGAATAGCCGAAATAAATATTTTCTTGCGTATGTCTTAAAGAATAGACAAAACAGGTGGATGAACTTTCATTTTGTCCCAGACTGTAAAGAGTAACGAGAGAGTCGAGAACAGACAAGTCTCGTAAAGAATCAAGTATAGTACGGAGCGACGACACTGAATATCGATTTAACGGACGTCCGTAAACGTAACAGAGGAATGCAAAAATTTGTTTGTAGAACCCAGAACTGAACGCATTTTGCGTCACTAAATATTTTTCAGTTCCCAAACCGGAAATTTTCTGCATTTATAGTCGATTAAAGAATCGTAAGTTAAAAACTGAATAATAGATAATCTGACAAAACATTTCTCACTAAAGTGGTAGGAATGTTATTTCATTTCTGTTTTTCTGTTTTTAAAAATTACTTCATGAGAAGAAAAGTTTAATTATACTTCAAATAACTCCTACATTGTTTACAAATTAATAACTATTTTCTCCTGGGAATAATTGTTTTATTTAAACTTGGTCAACTCCGATTAAACTGTAATTGTCTCGACTACACAAGTTTCAATTTTCGTAAGTACCTGCAATCAACTAGTCAAATTAATATCCGAATAAATTAGTCGATAACATGGGTTGCAGGAATTAAATTGCAAATACCTATGCGATTTCTCACTTTTACAACAGGCAGTAAAAAAGATGTATATCCTTTACTGGAAATTC